CACACACACACACACACACACCTGTCACTCTCCGATTGTCATTCACACGGTGACATCAACAATAATTATGCTATCAACTTATGCACACAAAAAAGATAGCTATCACGTTGCGTAATAAGACATACTTTTGTATCCAGGCCTCTGGTCTTGAGATAAAAAAAAATACATTATGTAGTGTGTTCGGCGCGTGTCTGTCTGAAAGATGCTACCAAATGGAGGTCAATGAACTTCTGAGTAACTCGGATACTTAGTTTTTATTGCGTAAGACTTTTAACTGACTTGCAACAAAATTGGACCATATTATGAATGCCTAATGTTAGATGTGTGAATATAGAGTAATATGTAAAGAGAAATAACGGATAAGAGAATGAGATAGTGACGATACATGTTTGATAGGGGCTAAGGAGCAAACCATGTGGATGGTTGGCGGGTGCTCTGGTGTGGCTTGCTTCTTCTTTCCTATCAAACAGCTATCGTCTCTATCTCCCCTCCTTCGTTACTCTCTTGTAACACCTCTAATCTTCGGGACGTATATGAACTTATGCAGTTGCGAGCGCCGAAAAACCTCTACTAAAACTAACAAACAAGTGAACCATGTTAGAGCGCTCGACGTTTTCTCACAAGTTGAGTGCAGAGAGGTGAATTTCGCAACTTATACTTATTAATATTATGCTGATTCATACTGCATTCATTGTCATGCTCAGTCTCTATCTAAACGGATTTGGGATTTTGTGTTTGTCTTTGTTATTTTTGTTTTTATTTTTTATTTTAAAAAATTTTCTTCATCATCAATGACGTAGGCTTGGGCGTGGGTCGCTTAATCTTTTAATACTCTCCACCTCGCTTAGCCTAATATGGCAGCGTTTGTGAAGATTGCTTTCCTGACATTTCAAGACCTCCTACTACGTAGTGAATCTCGGCATTCCTCTTTTCTTCCTCCCTCTTTTCTTCCTCCCTTTCTTTTTCTTTTTAATGTCTTCCTTTTTTCCATCTGTATTGAACGTCCTTGTCTTTGTGCCTGTGAACGATAATAAAAGGGGTTTGTGATCCGCACTTATATAACCTTATTGTGTTGCAAGTGCCGTAAAACTCTTACTAAAACTAAAAGGGTTTGTGAAGTAAAGTAATATTATGAACTGGGAAATTTTCAAAAAGTAAATAATATACAGCCGAACCTGCTCCAACGGCCACCTTTCCGAGACAATCACTTGTACGAACAACTACATGTACTTCCCACTTCTCCCTTGCACCAGAGAATCGAACCCAGGTCTCCTACTTGCGTCAGCGAGGCCACTAACCGCTACTGCGTCATAGATTCCGGATATAGACATTTCCATACTGGGATACGTTTTGAATAACGTTCAAAAAGTGGGTCGGATCGTGGGAATATTGCAGTGTGTTAGTTTGTGGTGGTGGTGGTGGTGGTGTGTGTGTGTATTTGTGTATGTGTGTGTGTGTGTGTGTGTGCGTGTGTACGGTAGTGTGTGTGTGTGTACGTGTGTGTACAGTTGTGTGTATGTATGGCAGTGTGTGTGTGTGAGTGTGTCGTTGTGCTGCGCCATGGCTCACTTCTGCGTATCAGGGACACGATCAACCTGCGCCTTATCACAGACAACGTCACTCGGACACACAGACACACACACACACACACACACACACACACACACACACACACACACACACACACACACACACACAAACAGACAGATAGACAGCCGTCCTTCCTTGCTCCGGCTAAACCGCGGATCATTCAATCGTATACTTCTTCTTTCTATTTATGACAGAATCTTTACAATTAAATACATGTTGTTTTGCTATTCTCGTGGACATTTTAACCGTGCTACTTTAAAAAAAAACAACCAACGCCATAACTAGCCTCCTTTAAGATCCTTCTTTCATACCTCTACTTTCTATTTCTGACTGATTGTTACAACTAAATGCATGTATTGCTATTCTCCTGAACATTTTAATCGTGCTACTTTAAAAAAAAAGAATTCTGACCGATTCGTTACTACTAGATGTCATAACTAGTCTCATTTACATCCTT